CTGGGTCTCGCTGCCATTACAGAAGGCGGCAATAATAACTAATTGGTTAAAACAATCAAATAAAAACTGGTTTCCCGCCAAACTCAGTAAGGGCGATTGTTTTGGGATTCCTGTGGACGCGCGTACAACCAAAGCAATCGTTATTACTGATTCACAGGAGGGAAAAGTGAAACTGGTCGTAGTCTATGAATATATTACGGTCTATTACGTCCAAGCTGAACGAAGAAAGATAAGTTCTGAGACACGTATACAACTATTTCATACTGGACATTGTCTGTTGGAGATCTCAAGGAAATCTAAAATCTGAACAATCTGAGACCAATACGCCAGCGCACGTAGTATACGGCTTTGTGCTAGCAATTATTTAATGTCCAGAGTCAAGTCAGAGTTTATGATGATAGGCTAAAGGCAAAGGATTTCTTAGGCCTTAGTAGGCCTTAGTAACTCGACCGAAACGTCTAGTAAGAAAAAACACACTTCRCTGACATTAGAGAAAACTAGTTATCAATTTCATATCTCATATTGCAATGATATTAGAAGAATCTTATTATAAACTTTAAGATCAACAACCAACGCGGGGTTATCAAAAAAAAAAAAAAAAAAAAAAAAAAAAAAGAACTCTGTAGGTATCAGAGAAACAAGTTTCACGTTATCAGCAATTACGATGAATGAATACCTGCCCCAGCAGCGATGTCCTATCAACCAGATAGTATAGATGATGGCAGCCATGACAGGAGGCAGAAACAATTCACCTCTTCGGCGCTAGCTTGGATTGTGTTACGGTCACCAAAAAGTTCAGACATCGTTCTTGGATTCCCATACAAATTCACTGACTTTAAAGAGAACAGTCATACACTCAACATCAAACATTGATACATATATTTCTTTGTATATAAATCCTTAATTTATTTTATTCCTATGAAGCCCAAAGGGTGGCTRATGTGCTTATTTCACATTACTTGTGACTATGATTTATATTTTGGGGGTGTTTGGGTATTTTTTTCTCCCTTTACTACTGATATTTTGATCATAAACTACAAAGAAATGTATKGAGCGATGTTCGATGTTGAGTGTATGACGTCACAGACTCAAAAAAATAATCGTAAAAATATCATACTTTCGTCCTGAATATCGAGAAAACACTTCATACAGTGATTATTGGGCATTTAAAGAGTATTCTTAGGAAGTTTCAGCTAAATCCAAGTTTGAGAGATTTTCGTCAGAGTAGCACTTTAATACTAATTTATGGGCTTTCGGTATGAAAAACAGTTACAGATAAATCTTATTTTAGGGAATGATACGTGCGGTCTAATATGGGAAAACTTTACGCCAAAGTTAAAGAGGTAAATCATATCTTTCCTTTTTATTTATTTTTTTATATTACTTCAAAACTACAACTTCCTTTTATTATTTTAGCGGTATTCAAAAGTTTGATTAAAATTAAGAATGTCATTTGAGATACAAAGCTTAACATCAACAACCAACACGGGTTATCAAATGATCAATACAACTGTCCATACGTAATTGGAAACAGTTAACTTGTTATTCTGTTGCTTGTTATCAATCAGTTGAATGAACCTCATTACCTGTTTACGATAACAGACACACGTACACTGCCCGTCATGTGCTATCAACCAGAGTTCATTCTATTGCTTGGTATCAACCACCTGAATGAATCTTATTAATCTCATTAGCATCCTACAATGACAGGCAAACACTGCCCGTCATGTGCTATCAACCAGAGAGTATTCTATTGCTTGGTATCAATCAGCTGAATGAATAGCATTAGCATCCTACAATGACAGGCAAACACTGCCCGTCATGTGCTATCAACCAGAGTTCATTCTATTGCTTGGTATCAACCACCTGAATGAATCTTATTACTAGCATAATTCCGATTATTACATGTTATTAAACATATGTACATTTTTTATTGAAAACTATCCATTAAGCTCCAGGTGATTTCGCGCACGCACTTCCGGTTAATATTAACCAATCAGAAACATTGTGGTTGGATCACCAAAAGTTTCATGATGAATTTTAAAATAGAGTCGTGTTTCGATTTAACCTTTTCAAAATACGTCCTGAAATATAACTTTAAATTGAAAAATTATATATTACAAGTACCAGAAAAGCTTCCTCTTGCCCTATCAGGAACCAAAATAAAAATAAAGCATAATTGCAATAAAAGTGCGCAGCAATATCAGTKTTGTCTTAATTAGTCATCAGCCGCTCTTTTGATTGCCGTGATTTTATGAAATAGGAGACTAGGTATTAGACAAATAATCCTTTGCGYGCTTCGAGGCGAGATCACGTGGTTTTGAAGGACACGCACGAACCCATAAAGAGGACTACCGTTTTAAACGGACCCACATAGAACTTCGTCATCTGCTTTCCTGAATCGAGTTTACTAATAAAGTATACGTCTTTTTATCAAACCACATCACTTTAATGTATCTTTTCATGATTTTAATAAAACCTGAATGAAAAAATCAAAACAAAACAAAAAAACAAAAAAAACCCAGTTAATTCCAGTTGATTCGTAATTTGTTTGAAAGCAAACCATTAACCAAACCTCAGGAGGTATCGTGATGAATCCATAAAACGATTCATTTTTAARATGATTGAATAAATTTGTTTTTCAAAGAAGTTATCTTATCTAAWGAAAATCGAGGCTCTCCAACTAATAGGAATAGATTAGCTCAAGTGTTTGTTTTTACTTGGTTATAAAATTCTGTATTAGCTTTAGATCTACGGACAAGCACAGAGTTCAGTGTCAGCCGGCGACACTGTTAGACATTTGAAAAACAGAAGCAAACAGCATATGAGCGCCGACAAGACAAGAAAGCGAGATTCAATTCATTAAAAGGTATTCTGTTTATTTGATTTGATTTGATTTGATTTGATTTGATTTGATTTGATT